TTATACAGACTTAGGACTGTCTGTAGTAATAGTTACTAGTTTACTACTACAGATATGTTAAAAATATTATTTTTGCTTAATATATTATTTTTGTTTTTGTATTTTGTCAAAAAATTGTAACCGTATAAAAAATATTATCGTTATTGGTGAAAAATGTATTGTTTTTTTTTTTTTGTAATTTTAATTTTATAAAAATGTTATAGTACCGGTAAAAATTTAAAAGATAACTTTTTTAGGAATTTAAACCTACTAATTTTAACTGATAAAATAGTCAAATGTATTGCTTTTTCAAAATCTGCAAACACTTTTTTTGGAGAAAATATAATATTGATTTTATTGCATTCAGACAAAATGTGGAAAAATGCCTTTTCGTAGGTTTTTAATTCCTTATCAGGAAGTAGAAAAAATAATAGTGGTATATATTTATCATTTTGTAAGCCATGAACTGTGAAGATTTGAGTAAAAAGGCTTGGGCAACTTTTGAAAGTTCCGTCAACAAAAATTGTATCAACATTACAATAACATTACAATCAACATAACCAATAATTTCGACTTTAAAGATATCACAGGTAATGGGGACGCAATTCAGACGTGCTCAAGAAAAACCCGGGACGCAATTAGTATTATACCTTTTTATACCTTTTTATACGGGACGCAATTCGTAAGCAGCGAATCATTATCATATAAACGAAATATTTCGTGAAAAATAAGAAAACAATTTAAACACAATAAATTAATTGTATTAATAATGTTTTCAGGTCATATAAAATAGTATACATTAACAGCGAAGATAGCGAAGATTTAAATTTTTTATCAAAGCATAATAAAGTTATTACACGAATAATTAATTTAAAATTACAGAAAAACTCTTATTAACTTTATAATTATAATTTTGAAACTACTTATATTAGGTTTTATTTTTTTCATTTTTCGCTATGACAACATTTTTTAAAAGTTTGTTAAATCATATTTTAAGTGACATATTGAACGTAATAGACTATTCGCGACAATTTTAAAACGAATATTACTCGTAAAATGATTTTCAATAGGCCTGGATACCAATTTATTATCTTTTGGTGGTGGTGGTGGTGTTGTTGCACTGTCACCAAAATGACAATTAGAAGGGTAATAGAGGAATAAATTTAGACAAATGCAATTAATAATTAAAGGATACTATATATTATAAACACTCATATAAAGAAATAATAAGGGCGCTTGTTGAAGAGGAATAATAAAAATGCACAAAACGTATAAATATTAAACGACAATTAGATAGCGATATTGCAAAAGGCGAAAGTATGAAGAAATAAAAGAATAGCGATACGTGTGACTCGTTCGAGGATCGGTGGCGAGAATGAGCAAAAGTCGGTCGAGCAATCGTCATAACCATCGCCGTTCGAACAGTCAGGTTTCAAACATGGATATAAAACACAAGGAACATATATAATACATAAAATACAATAATGGGGTAACAGTTGGTACCGTGAGTTAGTGAGGCTAAACAACGTATTCCAACTATCTGTATTATAACCTGTTCCGTATCATAAAATAAATAGTTCGTACAATTAATAAATAAAAATAAATTGTTTAGTAGTAATAAAATTTATCAAATTTTTGGCTAATTTTTGATTGTATGAGTAGGTATACATGTCAATGTCATACATGATCATAATTTATATTTTAGTCGAAATAAAACTTTCCAAAGTTGATCGCAGAACAATAATCCGTGAAAATAATATATATGTGTGTATCTATCTAATAACTAGTAGGTGTACTATAATAGGTAATATAGTACCTAATACACTTGAATAATAATGATTATTATTGTTATATACGATAAAGTAAAGGGAAAAAAATCACATAGTCGTGAAAATGTTTGGACTTTTAACAACACTGGTTGTTTATCTTATGATTTACCAAATATTGTTTGCGAAAGTCTGAACTACAAAAATCATTTGTGATTTAACTAAAATATTTTGTGTATCCTAGGTTTTACCAGCATTCGTATTTCTACTGTTACACACACACACACACATATATATATATATATATATATATATATATATATATATATAATGTGTACGTCGCATTCGGAGATAGAAAACATAATAAAATAAATTATATATTTCATGCAAAATATACGTGTACCAAGATGGTATAGAATATAAAAAAAATTACAGTGCACTCGTGATGAGATTGAGAAAGAAAACAATGTTTATCAATATATTATTCCAATTCTTTAGTATAAACTGTAATCATAACAACTGAAAAGTAAAATGTATATATATATAAATAAATCACAAGTCAATTATTTGGAGGTGTCGACGTGAAATAAAAACTTTTTTCATAGTTTTTAAAAAAAAAACCATCGTACCAACCGCGACGACACGTGTATCGAAACCATTAAAAGTTTTGCATCGCGTGGCTTGACGGGTCTGTACATACATACATACATATTCATACATATATATTATATATATATATCTACATAATATACAAGTACACTAATGCATAATATTTCTACAGTGGTATTTATAACATATTAACGTGGAAAATACACGGCGTTCCATACAACGCATAAAATATATTTATAAGCATAATGTGTATATTGCAAATATTATATTATCTGTGGTAACGAATGTTAATGTATAATACTTTTTAACTAGTAAAAAAAAAAATTTATTTTTTTATTTAACAAGTATAATAAATTGCTTACTATATTCTAATTACATTGTGCATTTGTGTACACGATGTCATACATACGAGTATGATATATTTTAGCTTACGAAATTTGTGAGATTTCATAAAATAAAGTTTATTAGTACGTGAAGCTTTCTACTTAAATTTTCAGTCATACTCTTAAATTTGAATCAGCTATAATCAGAGCCAGGATTTATATGTTTTTGCTATTTTTTTTAAATTTTTTTTTAATAATCATGACGAATCATACTCAATGGAATTTGTAACTAAATTTTTAATTATCATATTTCAATGGAAATAGTTCCAAAAATATTCGGTCACTACACGCCGAAGTAGAGATAAAGTTCTAGCAATCTTAATTTAAAATATATATTATGTTCAACACATTACAATTTAAGATCGTATTAAAAGAAATAGATAAAATTAATAAAGTATTATTAGGAGAAGAGGTTCAAATAGATGAAATCTATAAAGAACTATTAATTTTAAGTTCTTTTTAATATGTACCAGTAGATATAACTTCAATAGATGTAATACAAGCACTTATTAACAAATATACGTCAAAGTTTCACTAAAGAAAAACTGGAATATTATTTAATCATTAATTTTAACAATAAAGTATTAAAACACATTTCGAGTTTTATATTGTATATTATTTTAGAATAGAAATATTTATCTATTTATTTATGTGTTTATTTTTTTGTAAATTTATATTTTTTTTATACCTAATACAATTTATTTTTATTGTATATTTTAATGATTTTTACTAAATATTATATGGCATATTTTGATACTCGTTAATGCATACAAATCCGTGCTCTAGTTATAAGTATTATAACTCAAAACAAATTTAATAGATACTCAATAAAAGGTAAACTTACAGGAAAGATAATACCAATTTTATAATGTCAAGTTTCTGGGGTTTAAATAACTGACCTAGCAAACTAATTAGAGCAATTAAACATCCGTATACTCATCATATTATTTTTATATTTTATTGGTTATTCTGTAAATTTAAATAATATAGGTAGCAATTATATAATGAACGGACTCACATATTTGTCTATTTCCATTAATAAATTAAATTATCATTTTCTAAAATCTAAATTTGTTTAATATTTTCAAATACGCAATATGTAATATACATTTTAGTTTGCATAATATAAACTTTTTTTAGGTTATTTGTTATGTTAATTTAACGCGAGTATCTAAGAATCTAAGTATCAGGACATATTTTTGTTTAAAATAAACTATTATGTTTGTATTAAAATATATTAAATTGTTCAAGTATAGACGTAACCAATAAAAGAATCAAAGGCGTTAGATGAAATTAATAGTTGCCCATGGCGATCAAATGTCGACTGCGAGATGAAACCATATTTTATAAAAAAAAGTTTATTTAAAGTTTTTTCATAGTAAATAAATTATTTTAAGAACATATTTTAATGTATTTATATAAAAAATATTAGCATATTATATATATATAACTTACTAACCATATTTCAATCAATTTAAAAGCATCTTATATTGAAATTTAGTATGCACACATATCTAATATCACAAACATTATAATATTAGAAATAGTCAAGTAGTGTGTATTGAAAAATGTTTCCATTTTATCATGCAACAATTATTTCAGTGCAAGAACTATAGTCATAAAAATAATATTTTTTTCAATTTGCTTTAAGTATAACTTTTAATAAATGTGGAAAATAAATATAATACACATATATTAGGTATTTATAATTTTAGTTATTATTTAACTATACACGATTTTTAACGTTTTAAAATGTCACTATACATTATGTAGATGTCTGCATGGATTTTTTTTTTTTTTAATATTTAGTTTCAGAAATTATTATTGAGAAAATCCCTTACATTTTATACAACAAATATATATTATTGTTGAAAGTGTTTGTTTTAAATTTAATTTGCTATTGACTGTTATAAAAATAATAATAATTAAGGACAGTGGATTAAATTTATATTGAACCCCATTAATTGACCTTCATTTATTTTTTATATGAGTACTTGAAGTTATAACATTATAATAGCAACAATATTAAATATTAATCTACATAATAAGGAACCGATAATAATTTGTAACAGGGATTTAGAGTAAAACTGTACGTATCATGGGTATTTATTTTTAATGTTAGCACAGCAAATTATATTTAGTTTTAAGAGCAATAGCATTTGAGTCCCAATATAGTAGCATATTTATATTGAGCAGACTAAAAATGTATTTGAAAAAAGTTATTTTCTAATTATGTTTAATTCAAGAGCTACCACACACTTACCGTTGCTCAACATCTCGTCGTCAGTAAGTTGATTAGGCTTAGTGTACAGCACACCGAATTTGAAATTCACCGATCCTTCTTGCTCTTCTAGTAACAATAAATCCTGCCAATTTTGTACAAAATAATTAATTTTTAAATATTCAATAAATTATAATACATTAGCAATACCTTTTGGATTTCCGGTGAAAATATTTCTTTTGGACCTTTTTCTAATTTTTCCATTGTTGGAAAATTACTGAAATCATACAGCAATATGCAATAATTAATTATCGTATGGAAACACACACATCGATTTATTTAATATTTAGAGAAAAGTTATACAGATATATGCATATTGTTATACTGTAAATGGACTCTAAATAATGCGAAAAAACTCATAGTTGGTCTTTACCTTTTTCTAAGATAACTTAATTAATATTTCAAAAATAACTTAAGTTTTTAGTATAATAATTTTTTTTATCATATGAATTTAATTATTGATATTTTGAGTGCATAACGATAAGTAAAGAGATCTTATAAGAAATAGAGATTCTATAAAATTGCTTTTACAGTTATTTTTTTTCATATTTATTATAACGACATAGTGATTATTTGACAAAGTTATTGTAATGCTGCTATAATATTCTTCAATAAGTTTTTGAACAGTAACCTATAAACTTTTTAAGAAAGCCAATGAAACGATTTCACGTCTTGAAAACACAATATTATTTCTGTTCAATTATATCGTTTCTCATTTCAAAAAATCTTTTATTTCATTTTTACGCCAATATAAAATTATTACATTTGAAATTACCTACCTTATGCAATGGAATTCGTATTGAATAACTTTATGAGTACTTATTTAGATTTTCGCATTATTAAAATTTGCATATTTTATTGAAAGTTGAATAGTATTAAATCAATACATTCAGCAAAATATATTCCAATGCAATACAACATTATATTAGAAAATGTACTTTTATAATATTATATTTAATATACTTTAATACAATTATTTATGCTTATAAATTAATTTATATGAAATATATAAGTGGGATTTATTCATTTTACTTTTTATAATTTTCAAAATGTTGTAATTTTCATAAAATTCCATTGACCTTACATTGGTACAGTGATTTTTCATAATTTTTTTATTAACTGAACAAATAAATTTCAATTACATTCAAAATCGATTGAAGTATAAACATTTAATTAAAAATAAAAATGTACAAAATAAAAATAATGTTTTCTCATTAGTGTAATATTTCCATTCTGAAGCATAAATATTGATATATGAACGCATTGTTGAATAATTGATAATTTTATAACGAATAGTTCCGTTATCTATTGCATTTGTTCATTTTTCATTGAATGAATTAAGCACACGTCTTGAAAGTATAAATGGTAACCATAGAAAGACACATCTTTAAAATTTTATTACATCAGATATGAAACGACAAAATTATTATTACGTTTAAATAATAACACTTAAAGAAATCAATAGCTTATATAAGTACAAGGATATGTAATTTGAATTTTTACGGAACTCAAATAGTTCTCAGTTTTCAAGAATTTTTCGTTACAAAACACTGTGAAATATATATATATATATATAAAAATATAAGTATACTTTACATACCATTATATTACATTTTCTTTTTACATTATATTCGTATTCTAATGCGACATCATCGTTTTATTTTTGTGAGTCTAAAAATTATTGTACTCTTTTTATTTAGTACACAAATCTGGTTTTAATGAAATAATAATAATACATTTTTATTTTTTTTGTACGTCGAGTTCTTGATATAATTAAACAATAATTAAGTTTGCTGTTTTATTTCAGTCCGCGCTAACTATATATTTTGTGTACAATACTACAATACGGCGTTCAAGAACTTCTGTTTGTAATTAATTACGATATTATGGAAACGCTGACAGCAGCAATTTTTTTTTTTTTTTTAATTAGTTATATTCGATACTTCAAACTCGTTTACCTGGTACGCAACCGTATTTGAAACCGTCATCCTAGGACGTTTTTGGCTAAATCGAATGATTCAATTCAACTCACGTGTCGAAATCAAATGTGTTCTGGCCGTGGAACATCGACAAATCTAAAAGTAACTAACCTAACTTGTGTACCATCGTCATATTATATATGATTATACTTTATAATTAACATATCATGTAAAATTGTGTACGGTATACGTTACACGTTCTCGTCGATAATAATGCATCGCTTAAACTCGTGTCCTCTCCAGGCAAAGAGCCGTTGATAACGACGTCGAGTCACCATCAACACCACCGTGTTCGTAAACAACGGAGAATTACTGGTAGCATAATTAGCTCTATTCGCATCCACCATGTATATACATGTTGTTACGCCGATTTGTGCTCTCCGTTTTACGCTTGACAAATAACATTTATCGCTCGCGGAGTCGAAGCTCATCGGGGATCAGAAATCAATATGCGTTACATACGATTGACTTATACATGTTATTATAATACGAGAACAGAAGATGAGGTCCCTTGTATATATTATTATTATTATAGTAGCATGACATTTATACTCATACCTCACATGATCGATGGCAAATAATTTTTCCCAATTTTTCTTTAACAATAAATATTTTCTGTTTCCGAAACACGTGAAAACAAAAATCAGGATTCACGAGCGATATTAAAAATATAATAATATCAAAATCATTCTGTTGCAACCGAGCACGAAATTCACCCAAAAGATTGGTATGCATGACACGGTTTTAGTTGTAATGTTTTAATATATTATCGAAATATTTCCGAGTAAAATGTAACTAGTTTATTGTTATATGTCAATTTTAAAATATTTTAGATTTTTTTATGACTTTCAAGTTATCTTGAACTGAAAAAATAAAAGTAATGAGTCATTTGAAAATTATTATTAATTAATTTATTTATATATATTATATTATTTGAAAAAATCGTACTTGATTTTTTATTAAAGAAAAAAGAAAAAACGTTAAGCCATGCACTATTAGTTGGGATGCTTAGCTCCCTCCATCCGATTTGAGTACTGATTCAGTATATATAACGATTTCAATTATTATTGTTAATTGTATATTTATTGCTAATATTTGATATTTTTCGGTAAATTATACTTTTTCCTTTTGTAACGTTACCGGTTTGACATGGACTGGTCAACCGCTAGCACCAAAATCAAATTTAAAAAATCTACGTAGTCTACATTATTAAAATATACGACACATAGTTGTTTATAACAATAGTTAAAATAAATTTAAGTAAAAGTACTAAAAAATAAAATTTAGTCAGGAAAAAAAAACCGTTCAGGGAAAATAACTGTAACCACCTGAACAAACATCCAAACTATTATTCAACATGTGAAATATACGCCTTTTTACAGCTAAATACTACACACATATGTAATATGATACCTAATGTGTTGAAATATCAGTCAGAAACGGAAAGCTCCGGCCTCACAAGGAGTCTTCATACTCCTGTTATGTTGCGACGTATCGTAAACTTCTAACGACTAGGGTCTCATCAAATATTTGTGGACACAGTAATAGGACAAAGAAATGGGAAAAATTATAATTCAAATATAATATAGTACCGTACAATAAAGATCCATAAACTGTAAACACAGCTATCAACTATTATTTATTTATTTTTTTAATTTTTCAACACATCAATCTTAGGGCCGATACAATTTGAAATTGTGGTTCGGCGTAACACTTTTAGAGTGACGGACGAACGAGTAAAGTCGGTCACGTTTGCGACTACAGAGAGTCGATTACCGTTTCTTTGCGCTATCGAGCTTTCGCAAAAACGAACGTGGGATGGTCACGCATCGACTCGAATATCATTTGCCGTCCTTATCTTTATCCTTATTCATCTTATCCTTATCTCAACACATACCGCATCGTTGACGTGTTTCCGATAAGTCTTCCATGTACTCTAGGGCCGTTTTATACAAGCAGCGTAGTCGTTTTCGTCGATTCAATTACTTAACTTCCGGTGAAATCCTTTTCGATATCACTATAGACATACAACACCGATCAAAAACTGGTCTCGTGTTTCTTTACGTCGTCTTGACAGCTCGTCGCCGCTGCTGTAGTGGTTGTCACCGTCCGATCAATCAGCTTATCACCCGTGCGCCGGTGGTGTGTCCTTCGCATTCGTTTATCACATGATCCGTCTTTGTACACCCCACACTCGAACCCGGGAACGGGTATTTTGATATTCGATCTTGCCGTCGGGGTGAAACAATCCATTAATCCCCAAAATCCGTCGAAAACATATGTGTAGTGTGTACACACGTCATATTCTCCACGAAGGACTCGCTTCGCACGACACACACTTCATACGACCACCGTATGATGGGTCTCTTATACGAGGTGTGATTTTTGTTATACTCATTCCGCTTGTCAACGCAACACTGTTTCACGCGGTAATTATAAAAAATAGAAAATGATGAACTATACCAAATTTTTATCGAAACGATTTACCTATTTTATTTGTTAGAACTCAAAATGTCTACACAAGTTACAATTTAATTCTGGGCCGGCAGTACTAATGATTACTTACATTATTACTATGTAGTACGCACCATCAGTAAGTGACGATCGGGATAGAATATTAATATTTAAGAATGCATCGTAAAGTGAACGTTTAACATTATTCTCATAGTAGTTTCTAACAAATCAACTTTCTTGGCATTTGATCAGATAACAATATTTTATCATGAACCTTAATTTTCAACTTTTAATTTTGTTAAAATTTACCAACACAGTCCAGTGATGTAATTCACGAAGCCATATATGGAAATGAAAATTTAAAATAATATCGATAATTTTTACAGCTTATTTTACAGAACGTAAAATATCTATTCTTTACATCTTATTAACATATCACTATGACAACGTATAATTTATCATATATCATAATATGCTATGTGCGTTATATTATTCACACCTACAAGTATATATGAACTGTATTTTAAAATATATTGTGACAGTCAAAAATTGTTCCACGAAAATTAATTTTACTCAAGACGTGGATAACTAAGAAGATTTTTATGAAAATTTACGTTTGAATTATTGCTTATGGTAATATTACCTAATATTATTGCTTATGGTAATAATAACCATTTAAGAATATTGACAATAATTATTTATTGCTTTTAATCATTATCATCGAAATAAAGCATTATATACAATAAAATCTATAAAACCGATTTGAATTCAAATAAAGTCAATT